AATAGCAATAGACAATTTTAGAATAGTAAAAACTTAAAAATGACTTTGGAAAGAATATAGTCCCTAATTTGTTATGGCATAAGCCAATTGCTGTGGAAGATTTGTAGGTAACTTTTGGGTCAAGCATTTTCTGCTTAGTGTTTGGTTTGGGGCAGTGATGGAAACAGGATACCGGTCTGTTCAATATGATGTTCCTTGAAATTGTCTAAAAAATAATTGACTGTGTCTTCTGCATGAGACATTTCATATAGTCAATTTTGGCAAATTTAACACATCAACAATTCTTGTGAAGTTATTATCCACCCAGGAATACAGGCATTGTGGATTGTGCCAATATAGAATTTCATCTTCATATAGTTAGTTCTCAGTATCAAAGACTGGCAAAAGGCAGGGCAGGGTGGCACCTTACGTTGCATCCAGACAAGCACAGACATGCATTATGTGGTGCAGCAGACCCATCTCAGGAGTCGCATGCTGCATTTGCAGGCATGCCCTGCACTGCTGCCTTGCAGCACTGGGGAGTTGTTTTGACCCCGGGAGATCCTGGGGTCAAAAAAAACCCGCACCATAAAAAAATACAGTAGTGCACATGCTGGCAGCACACTTACCAAAACCAGAGCCTGGCCAGCCCTAGCCACACTCTGGCTGCTTACCATGTTCCCAGCTGCAGGAGTGCCATGGCTGCAGCTTCCTGAGACCCCTAGGACTCCAGGTAAGGCTGTTGCGGCCACCACAGTTGCTGGCCCCAGCCTTTCCTACCCTACCCAGGGTAACCTGCCATGCACTAGAGTGTGCATGACATGGGCATTCCCTGGGGACAAGTAGCAGCAGCACAAGGTGTGCCCCACAAGGTGTATAAGTCAAGTTTTGAAGCCAATTTTTGTGTCTTAAAAATCAAACTCAACTTATACAACATGCCACATCAAAAATAGGGGATGGGGCTGGGCTTGGCTGGGTTCAGCACTTGGCTGGTTTGGCCCTACCCCTTGTGAGCGGTGCTGCTGGTGCCAGTTGCAGGAGATGAGGCTACGCCACCTGAGCCCAACCCCATCTCTGTCCCCTGTCAGTAGCACCAGGCTTGCAGGGGATGGAGCCATGCCAGCCAAGCCTCAAGCCTGGCTCTGTCTGCTGCAAGTAGCGCTGCCGAATGCCAAGCTTTGCACTGCTCTCAGGGGATGGGGTGGCCTCATTCCCTGCAAGCAGCACCAGCTCGGCCT